GGGTTTGTTTTTGTTTCAACCATTTCTCTGTCCTTTGATTTTTCTCAGTTTGGATTTGTTTTGATGCAGGAATCGGCGAGTTCTTAACTTGTTTCTGATCCTTTCATTCAATCTCCTTTTGTGGTCCGATCATGGCTGTCGCTGAGAATGCTGGTCTGAAAGTGGACTCTTCTGGTCAGAATTTAGACAACAACACTGCTTCAGCTACCGAGACGAAGCCGCCATGTCCAGATGATGATCAGACCCTTAAATCTGATTCATCGAACCCTCGAGCCGATGATTCGACTACCGATGATCGGACCAATGACTCTGCCAAAAATGGTCAGACCCCAAATGGGTTTATCAGAAATGCTTTCGGGTCGGAATCGGAGAATGGAGGGAGTCTGAAGAGTGAGATCAAACATTTGGCTGATGCGTTTTCTAAGCTGAATCCGATGGCTAAGGAATTTGTTCCTCCTTCACTGGCTCGAAGTCAATCTGGGGTTTTCAGAAATGGATTAGGGTTTAGTAACAATTTTGCAATGCAACCTGTTCTTGCAGATGGGAATGATCATTTCCCCAGAAGGGTATTTATATCCTTTAACCTTGTCGCTGAATTTTGATCTCTGACTTTTGTTTTCTGGATAAAAAAAACTATGTGTTTTTTCCATGGACAAATCTTGGTTCTTCACTTGTTGTCTGGTTGCTGAGTAAATGATCATTTTTTAAGTTTTGATTTTTACATCTCTGGAATATGGATGTGTTTTGGTTGCATGATATATCCTTTTTTTATTAGTGTGTGAATTCTGATCTTTGTATTTGTCTTATCTTCTCTTAGATTTTGATCACACAGTGAGGTGTATAGAATCGGTTACTATAAAGTTTCGAGCTTTTGTGTGTTTTTGTTTACCGTTCTAGCTTGTTTGTTGATTGAAAAAGCTTGTATGTTGATCAATTCAGCAAACTTGATAAAGGAAAAATGTTTTCGAGCTTTATCGTGCCTTTGAGTCTATTGCTTGATCACTGATTGAGAAGCAGTTTTACTTTGTTTGCGGTTTGTTAAATTTTACGTATTTGCTGTTTGCTTTTGCACTTGAGAAAATAGTTGCCTTTTCTGTGCAAAGTTCCTTTTTCTGTTTATGAGTTTTGAAGTTTTCGGGTTTGAACTAGAGAAAGTATACATCTTTTTTCTGGACACATTCTTCAAACAATGGTATTACCCGCTAGATGTGCGAAAGGAAAGTATGCAAGAATGTACTATAGATTATAATAGTGTGTTGGAGATAAATTTAGTAATTCGTGTGCTTCTCGTTTTACCGTTTACTACAGAGAAGGAGTTTTGGCCAAGGGAAGCGAAGAATGAACAAAAGGACTAGCTTGGCTCAGAAGGAGGATGTAATCAAGAGAACTGTGTACGTCTCTGACATCGATCGACAGGTAAATAAAGGGGAATTCATTGGCTTTTGATAGCATTTTTCTGTTAAAGGAATCCATTTTATACCCACTGCCTCTCTTAATTTGTTTTGTTTGTAGGTTACTGAGGAGCAGCTCGCAGGAGTCTTTCTTAATTGTGGACAGGTACTTAAATGATCTTTACTATGTTAAAATGTTTTGATTATCTGCAATAACTCGTTTCCTCATGATTGATTTGTCATTTTGGGATGAAAGGTTGTTGATTGTCGTGTTTGTGGTGACCCTAATTCTGTCCTTCGTTTCGCTTTCATTGAATTCACCGATGAAGGTACATTTCACGCCAACCATTCTTTACTAGTTGAGATTTTTGTTCAGTACTGTCTTTAGTTATCAAGAGATGTTGCTGCAGAGGGAGCTAGGGCTGCTTTGAACATGTCGGGAAGGGTGCTCGGTTTCCACCCTCTTAAGGTGCTTCCATCCAAAACCGCTATTGCCCCTGTTAACCCGACTTTCCTTCCACGGGTAAGTTCATATAATCGCGGCTAAACATGGCTTAATCAAATCTCGAGCATAATGGTGATTTCTGTCTTCCAGTCTGAGGATGAGCGTGAGATGTGCGTGAGGACTGTTTACTGTACCAACATTGACAAGCGGGTAATTTGATTTTTATTTGATGAGATCTCATCTTATATAGAGACCTTAAACTGTTCAAGTATTGGAGATACTAACTGTCATCAATGTCTGTTCTTGCAGATCACTCAAACTGACTTGAAAACCTTCTTTCAAATGTTTTGCGGAGAGGTAGGGATTGTTGCTTGGAATGCAATGGTGATTTTACGCTTTTATACTTATATACTTGTGTTTTCTGCTCTGTAATCAATTCTTGGTATATACCGTTTTTTAGGTTCATCGTCTGAGGCTTGGAGACTATCACCACCAAACCCGCATTGCTTTTGTTGAGTTTGCGCTGGTAATTCTCTCCACCTAGTTTTTCAGTTAAGGTGTTTCCATTTCGGACATTATCTTTGGTGATTGAATAGTTTCAGCTGCTGGTTAAGATTCTACTATTTGCATTGCATTTAGAGAAACCAGGATTAGCGTTTCTAACTTGATATGTTGCATTCCATAAATATCTTACCTTTTAAAGACCGACTCAAGAGTTAGATGCATAAACTCGAAGATGAAGTTTACATAAAAGGGTCCAACGATTCAAACTTTTATTTTAGTTTCAGTTTGAATTGTCCATGGAGATTCATACTTTGCTCTGTTGTTTCAGGCGGAAAGTGCAATTGCTGCTCTTCACTACAGTGGTAGTGTCTTGGGTGCCCTCCCAATAAGGTAAAATATTTCGACATTTTTAACCTGTACTTTTCTTTTCTCATCATCTAGTTTTAGTTTTCTCATTTTACCCTATCCTCTTTAGGCATTACTTAATGCAAACATGACATCGCTAGATATGAACTAATGGAAAGAAAGTGATATGTCATATTCTCGACTGACTTGGCTCACTCTTTACGTAGATTCTATATCTGGTTCATTTGCATATCTTTCTTTGTGTCTGCATACATATGTTAAAATATTTCTATGCTAAGAGCAATAATAGAATCTGAGAATATTGTATTCATCGTTGTCGTGATTCATATGTTCTTATAGGGTAAGCCCATCAAAGACACCAGTAAGGCCACACTTTCCTAGACCTGAATGCAACTGAAATTATCGCAAGGCGGGAAATCCGAAAAATAAAT